CTGCTTGGCCTGCTGTGTTCATCCAGCTCTACACCTTGTTATCTCAGCTTTGCAAGTGACTACTTATGCTGTAGTGCTGATAATTTGATTCCCATCTCAGTGCATCATGTAGTATTGACTCTTTTCTGTGTTATTTCCTGTGCTTTCAGATTGGGAGAAGTGTGTCAGTTTGATTGGTTCAATAAGTCAGTCATGCCATCATACACCACAAATCTCTTTCAGTTAAAGTTGCAGAATCTCTTTACAGGTAAAGCACCTTTGTATTTTTCAGCATATTTTATATTTTACCAAATCAGCATAACAGTATTTGTAATTGAATTTCTTACTAACACCAACCAAGACAATTCTGCATTGGCTGTGCATGAGTCAGCCCTTTTAGATTACTGTGCATTTACAGTCACAAAAAAGTGAATCAGAGGGTCTGCATACTTCAATAAATTGCCTGCAAACTCCAACATTCAAGATGGAATACTGTTCATAAATTATCTTAAAAGTACACATCAAGCATTTGATTAAAGTGAAAGAGATTGATTGTCTGCAAAACCTACAATCTAGTTAATCCCAGAAAGAAAAATGTTATACGGGACCATTAGAAACAGTAGTCCATCAGAAATTGAGACCCATCAATGCTGATAAAACTTGGTGGGCTATCAATAAATTTTTTTCCTAGTTCTGGGAAGTAGGTAGGGGTCGCATTCTGGTTCACTGCTGCCAGTTAGGCAAAGCTGATGGTGACAGCTGTTCAGTAGGGTGGTAGTATCATCTTATGCTGCTAGATAGGTAGTAAACTTCTGCTTTAATTGAAGGCCGCATTGCAGACCTCTATAGTTTTAATGTAAATATTGCCCCAGTATGATTTTAAGCTTTATGTGCCTTTTAACACTGATTTGGATTTTATACTTTATTGGTGAATCAAACTCAATTTTTAATAGTATTGTGGTCATGAGCTTGAATATGACATAAGTAAATCACAGGAATATATAACTCTCTTTTCAACTTTTATTCTGAAGAAACCCATAAGAAACATTAAATTTGCATTGATTGTAAAACAAAGAATTAACCAAAAACATGATAAATCTAAGTCACAGAAGCAAAGTTGGCACCAAGCAACTGCTTCCAACTAACAATTCTTGAATATTTCATTGAAATGGTTCTGGCAGCCGTTACCAGTCTAAACATAATATTACCAAAGGTGCAATTTGGGTCTTGATTTTAAGAGGTAACATACTCTTCATCCCTGCCTCCCTCTGATGGAAAAATCGGTCATGAGAAGTTGACTCAAATGCTGGCTGCTTTGCAACAATATCATGGAGGAAGCAGTCTTAATTGATGCAGATTCGGACTTCTGGTTCGTAAGAAGTCCCATTCTGGAGAACTGCCAGCTGATCAGATTGGATGGCAGCATTGTAGTCCCAGTAGGCCAGCCTCAAGCAGTGGCCAAGATTTGTACTACAGTCAGTATCCCAGAAAGAACAGTCATGGAGCCCGATCAGAAGTAAGTCCAATATTTTGGATGGGCCTGGCTGGAAGACCCAGGCAATGATGGAGGAGAGGGTTATAGAGACCAGTTGGAGTGTTAAAGGATGGAAGAATCTGATTTTAGGAGTTTCCCAAATGGGCACAAGGTGCTTAAATCCTGCCCTGCTCGACAACAGCCCACACAGTGAAAACCACTGTCTGCCTTGTCTGCTCTTTCCCCTACCGCAAGTAAAATAGCAGCAGAGGTGGAATGACACCATTAATAGGAACTTTTTTATTCACTCATGGGATGTAGGCATCTCTGGCTAAGCCAGCATTTATTGTCCATCCCTAATTGCCCAGAAGGCAGTTAAGAGTCAACCCCATTGCCGTGGGTCTGGAGTCACATGTAGGCCAGACCAAGTAAGGATCACAGATTTCCTTCTCTAAAGGGCATTAGTAAACCAGATGGGCTTTTTCTAACAATCAACAATGGCTTCATGATCGTTATTAGACCCTTAATTCCAGATTATTTATTGAATCCAAATTCCACCATCTGCCATTGTGGGATTTGAACCCGGGTCCCCAGAACATTAGCTATATTTGTGGATTAATAGTCTAGTGATAATACCAATTGGTCATTGCCTTGGAATTAGAATAGTTAGGTGATTGAGTTTATACAGTCAAAACAGTGGGCCAAAGGGCCTTTTTCTGTAGCTCTCCAGGATCTATGACTCCAATTGGCAACTGAAGGGCATCAAAGGCCTAATGGTAGGTGAACTGTCTGATACCTTCCTTACCCATTGTGAGACTGGTCTGGGGAAGGCAGTAAGGTAGTGGGAAAGCCATCCACTTTATTTTACAAGTCTGCTGCCTTCATATATGTCAGTAAGGGAAGGCATAAATTCAGCTTCTGAGAAAATCTCTCTATCTGGAAATACTTACTTGGAACTTTATCTGTTATTTCTATTTTTCTGTTCGTTGTCCTACATGAGTACTTGCTAGAAGACTCAGCAATATTGAATACATGCAAAGGAAACTTAAATAGAGTTGTTGCTTCACCAAGATAAACTTTACTTTGTTTTACAGAAAAAGTGTACTTTGTTAATGATATAATGTGTATGCAGAAGAACTGTCGTCAGAATATTTCAGGACACCTAATTCATGCTCTGACTGAACTGTTTAATTTGACAACCGATGTCAAACAGGTTAGTTATTTGTCTGTAATTTTAACATTTTGCCTGATGTATTTGTTTATACAGTTGACTCATTTATGTGTCCAACTGAATTTTCTACATAAGAATTTGTTTCTGGCCGGAAGTAATATATTTTACCTTTATACTTCCATCTAATGCAAAGGTTTGCACATTGGACCTAACAGATTCAGGGAAGTGACAGTTTTGACATAAATTGCCATCAGAATCAAGTTTGAGTTTTTTTTTTTGCCTGCAACTACTCAACTACTGTGGTGATTTGTCTCCACAGGCCAATTTCTGCAACTTTTCAGTTCAGTTTGTTGGAGCACAAAAGAAATAAAAATTTGTCCAGTATGGTAACAACAGCATCTACCTAGTCTCTATATAATCCCTAATTCGGAGAAAAATTATTGCTGATTTGTTACAGCTGGTCCCTATTAGTATCTAAAATGAATCAAAGATTAGCTTTATCCCTTTTTGTCACATCCATAATTCCTGTCATTCTGTTGGCAGCCCTCTCACCTTAAAGCAGAATGTTTTGGGGTTGGGTCTCATTAAATTTGATGACAACAATCAAGATGACCCATTAGTGTAGTACTGAGGAAACGCGGCACTGTAGGAGGTGCCATCAGTCTTCTTCAGGCGGCTTAGGAAATTCGGCATGTCCATAAGGATCCTCACCAACTTTGAAAGCATACTGTCCAGGTGCATAATGGCCTGGTACGGCAACTGCTCTGCCCAGAACCCTAAGGAACTACAGAAGGTGGTGTATACAGCCCAGACCATCACAGAAGCCAACCTTCCATCCATGGACTCTATTTACATGGTTCACTGTCGCGGAAAGGCTTCCAACATCATCAATGAACCATCACACCCCAGTAATGATCTCCTACAACCTCTTTTATCAGGCAGAAGATACAGAAACCTGAACACATGCACAAGCAGGTTCAGGAACAGTTTCTTCCTGGCCATTATTAGACTGATGAATGGACTCTCCAGCCTCAAATAATGATTGATCTTGCTAACGTTGATCTCGCCCAGCGCACGGTCTGTGCAATGTAACCTGTACCTCTCTCTAAGTCGTTTTGATCTGTACATCCTTGCTTACTATGATCTGTCTGTACTGCTCGTAAACAAAGCTTTTCACTGTACTTTAGTACATGTGACAATCAATCGATCAATCACTCATTCGGATGAAATATTAACTAAGGCCAGGCTGTCCTCTCAGGTAGATGTGAATGATCCCATGACACTATTTCAAAGAAAAGGAGGGGAATTATCTGGCATACTTGACGATACTTATCCTTCAATCAACATCACAAAAAAACAGATTATCTGGCCATTACCATACTAAAAATTGGCTGCTTCATTTCCTACATTACAGTAACCATGCTTCAAAAATACTACAAAATATATAAAGGACTATAAAGTGCTTTGGGACATCCTGTGGTGAAGTGTGTTAAAACATGGAAGTCAGCTAGTCTTTTTCTTGTATGCACCAAATATCTGTGTTATTAACTGTATTGTTTGGAGGTTCATTTGTTACTATAGCAGAGCTTGAGACAATATCAAGATTGTTTTCTGTGAAACAACTAGCACTAATTTCTTGAATAATTACTGATGTTTTTGGTCTAGATTTTAGATGAAACGTTCTTGACTCCAGTCCAGGGAAACTGTGAGACATCTCTTAACAACAGCATACAATTAGAAATTGCAAATAGGCAGGCATCACAAGCAATTGAACATGCAGCAAGGAACTACCAATGCAGTTGTGAATTGACTCCATTGATGACAGAGCAACTATATGAAAGGTAACTTTCACATCTAACATCGTCTCTCGAATATTTACAATGTTGTTCAATCATAAAATGCATCATTATTCTTATTTCTAGGCCCAACTATCTATAGCTGTTTCATCAATATCCTTGCCTCCATCATAAGGTCAGAGGTGGGGATATTGGCTGCTGATAACACAATATTCAGCAGTTCCTCAAATACTGAAGCAGTCTGTGTCCAAGGGCAGTAAGACCTGGACAATATCCAGGCTTGAACTGATAAATGGCAAGTAACACTTGCACCCCATGAATGCCAGGCAATCCCCAACAAGAGAGAATCAAATATCACCCCTGATGGAGTTTGAGACGTTTGCACCTACAAGCCACATTTTGTGATACAGGGACATAAGCCTGTCTCTTAAAAGTACACTGCATGCTCACTGAGACATGACACAACGCTTCCGGTCCTAGCCACATGATCCCAGCCTCTTAGCCTCCTACTCTCATCCCAGGCCCACTGCTTCTGATTATCAGTGACTCGCAGCACTTATTAACCTGACTCGGTACCATCCAACCACATGTTGCTTCTGCCTCACATTTGTTACTAATAGGCTCACTTTTCCATGATTGGCTAACCCCGTGTGTGAATTTTTGCGTGTGATTTTCAGATTTTGGGGGTCTATTCACCTGTCATGCCTGAGTATACGGCAGCAAGGTGGCCCAGTGGTTAGCACTGCTGCCTCACAGCACCAGGGACCCAGGGTTGATTCTACCTTTGGGCAACTGTCTGTGTGAAGTTTGCACATTCTCCCCACATCTGCATGGGTTTCTGCTGGGTGCTCCGGTTTCCTCTCACAGTCCAAAGATGCCCAGGTTGGGTGGATAGGCCATGCTAAATTGCCCGGTAGTGTCCACGGATGTGTAGGGATTGACATGGCGTAGGTCCAGGGATGTGTAGGGATTGACATGGCGTAGGTAGAATCTGGTGGAGCATTTTCAGAAGATGTTCAATTTTAAAAAATCTGCAGCAGTGCAGTCTTTTGTTTATAGTGAACATTCAAAGTTTGAAGAGGGTCACTTCAGATGGGCAGAGTTAGTGACATGCTCAATGGACCATTTAAAGACACCCCCCCTAATAATCATGAGTCACCTGGATGCCTCAGTGTGTTTCCCTCTCCGTCGTCAATTTACGGAGATAGCAACATTGCTTCTGAACGCATAGGTTGCTTTCCAGCCAGATCTCAACAAGGTAGGGGGCTGGAATACATCATGTACTGGATGGTATAGCCAATTGACTGAGGCAGGAAGGGATACAGGCTTGGCTCCATAAGTTCAGGAGTAGGGAGCATTCAAGTGTGAAAAGTGCATGTCCAAATTTCATGCAGGAAAAACAAGCATCATAACCGGAAGAGTCTTACTGAGGTCTATGACTCGAGGGTAACTGTTGGATCCTTAAGGATGATAGAAGAATGCAGAGGATAATGGGTGGCACGTCAAAGGTTAAAATGGTTTGGGGCAACAATGTAGTGAGTTAGAACCTCACAGAACACTTAGTGGAAACAATGTATCACAGAACAATTTTCTGTGTTGACTGCAATTTAGTATTTTTAAAAATTTTGTTTTCTAGGTTTGAATTTTCTGCAATAACACTTTGTCCAAATAGTACCTTTGCAACTCTACTTGAGAACATTGGAGCATTTAAAGGTAATATTTCCATAACCTTAATTTGGACGGTTACTTTGAAAGGATGAGTTTAGAAACTTGGTATTGAACAATGGCTTGGGCTTTGCACAGTAGCAGTGAGGCTAACAGAGATCACTGTTAGAATGCAGTGTTTGATTGTTTAGAGAGAACCTCGTTGCTGTTTGTTCTCTGACAGACCCCACAAGAGCCTGTAGAGGGTGTGACATTTGATCAACTATGGGTGAGAGCAAGGTTAGGTTCAAAAGCCTTTCGAAACTTTGTCAATGAGGTGAATGGTAAGTTTTGTTCATTTGTGGCTGACTGGAAAATTCAGGCCAGAATGATTTGATTTTATTGTGTAAAAGTGAATCCACGATAACATTCTTCAGGACAATGCAGTAACTGTGATGAAAAGCATTGGCTCAGTTGACAGGGGAGTATTCAAACATGTTGAAAGCCAATGGAAATTAATGACAGCAGTTTTAAGATAATTATTTTGGGTGATTATTGAACTGTTTCATAATGTAATCATAGGCAATTTATGAATAAAGAATACTTTGGCAAAATGATTAGGTGGTTAATGAAAATATGCTGTTAATGCTTGAATATTAATGTAGAAAATTATGTATAGTTTTGTCCCAATGACTAAGTCTCTTTTTAACACTTTCATGGGATACTGGCATTGCTGGGAAGGCCAGAATTTGTTATCAAAGATGGAACAGCCACATAGGAACTGCACCATCTGTGAGTTCTCCTCTGAGCAACTCGCCATCCTGATTTGGAAATTTATTACCATTCTTTCACTGTTTCTGGGTCAAAATCCTAGGACTCCCTCCCTAACAGCATTGTGGGTCAAAATGTATCAAATGGTCTGCTGAGGTTCAAGAAGGCAGCTCACCACCTTCACAAGAGCATGTTAGGGCAGCCAGTAAATACTGGCCCAGCCAATGACATTCACATTCTGTTAATGAATAACCGAAATCTAGCTGACAATGTGAAACACTTGCCTGGTATATCCTTTCTGTAAAAATGCAGAACAAATTCAACCCAGCCAATTACTGCCCCATCAGTACACTGTCAATCATCAGTAAAGTGTTGAAAGGTGTTGTTAATCATGCTGGTGAATGGTACTGACCCAACAGTAACCTGCTCACGGACACTCAAATTGGATTTTGCCAGACACTGTTCAACCCCTAACATCATTACAGCTTTGGCCAAAGCATGGACAAAAGAGCTAAATATAAGAGAAGAGATGAGAATAATTGTCTTTGACATCAGCTCATATTTAACAGAATGTGGAATCTAGAAAATCTAGCAAAACTGGAATCAATTGAAATCAGAAGGAAAATTCTCCACATGTTGGAGTTGTACTTAACACAAAGGAAACTGATGTGGTTGTTGAAAATCAATCATCTCAGCCCCAGGACTTCTGTGCAGGAATTTCTCAGGGTAGTGTCCTACACCCAACTGATCTTCCGCTGCTTAATCAATGACTTTCATAAGACCTAAGAAATCAAAACAGAAGTAGCTGTTCGGCATCTCGTGCCTTCTCTGCCATTCATTAGGATCATGGCTGATCCAACATTCTTCATATCTACTTTCCTGCATTTGCGTCATAACCCTCGATTTCCTTTACTGATCAAGAATGTATCTATTTTAGCCTTAAATATTCACAAAGACTCTGCCTCACAGCTCTCTATGGCAAGGAGTTCCAAAGACTCTCATCCCTCATTGGCACCCCTTTATTCTGACACTATGCCCTGTGGTCCCAGACTCTCCCATGAGAGGAAACACCATTTTAGTATTTACCCTGTCAAGCTGCTTAAGAATCCTATATATTTCAATGAGATTACCTCTCATTCTTCTAAACTTACTAAGTATAGTCTTTGATCATAAGACAATACCTCCCTACCAGGAATCATCCTAGTAAACCTACCTTGTACTGCCTTTAATGAAATGATATCTTGCCTTAAATAAGGGGACCAATGATGGTATAGTTTTTAGAGATATTTGTGATTCCTCAGGTTCTAATGCAAATGCAGCAAGGTATTGACAGCATTCAAGCGAAGGCTCCTTAATGTCAGATACAATTCATCTCACAGACAAAGACCATCTCCAACAAGGGAGAATCTAACCATCACCTCTTGACCTTCAATGGCATCACGATCAGTGATTTCCCCACTATCATCATATTGGAGATTGCCATTAACCAAAAATTGAGCTAGGGCCACCAAAAATTACGGTGACTTCAAGAGTGGGTCAGAGCCTAGGAATTTTTCAATGAGTAGCTCCTCTCTGAATCCTCAAATCCTGGCCGCATCTACAAGGCACAAGTCAGGAGCGTGATTGAATGCTCTCCTCTTACCTAGATAAGTGTAGCTCCAACAACACTCAAGAAGTTTAACACTATCCAGGACAAAGCAGGGTGCTTGATTGGCATTCTATTACTTTCAACATTGACTTCTCTACCAAGTCACAGTGTGCATCATCTACAAATGCAATGCAACAGCTCCCTGATGCTCTTCTGACAGCATCTTCCCATGATCTGTACCATCTAGAAGGACAAAACGGCAGATACACAGGAACACCATAACCTGAGAGTCCCTTTCAGACCCAAACACCATCTTGACTGGAAACTATATTGCCGTTTGCCAACACTTCTTCAATGCAGATTCGAGATGGGTAATAAATGCTGGCCTAGCCAGTGATGCCCATATCTTGTGAATGAATAACAAATAAATATATCTTTAAATAGTTAACCATAATAGAAGAACACATACTTATAAATATTAAATCCCAGTTAACAAATGGAAGTTTTTAATACATATACTTGGTATTTAAGAGATTAAAACGGTCATTTATATTGTGATTTCATTGAATTCATAGGGGTAGTTAAATGGCACAGTGCCTCTGAGCCAAAATCTCTGATGCAAATCCCAATTCAGAACTTGGTGGCCAAAGATAGTGCATTCATAAGGCCAAAGTGTATCAATTTGTTAATCCTTCCAGCAGAAGCCAATGGCAGATTGTAAGAGTGGGAGGGATTCCTGGTCTGCCGTGTGGTGATCCATGTAATGGGAAGACATAGAAAATTGATAGTTCGAGGCTATAAAATGCCTGTTGAAATGTATGTTGCCATGGCAATTCATCTCTTTAGGGCATTGTCTGGTTTAGATGACTGGATGATCAGTGTAGATCACATTGAGGCCTTCAGCATGTGGTGTGATCCCAATTCCAGCTGGAATGGTTTAGGGACTTGTCTCCTTGCTGTACCCATTGTGAAGATTGTGTCACTATTTGTTAATCTTCCCTCAAGAAGGAATCTGAAGACCAATTGAACTTAGAATGAATGTGATTCTAGTTCCATCCTGCAACATCATTTTACTATATGTCTATTATTTACATGACTTATGCAATATTTAATCTTGTATAAGGCTAATTCATTTTGCATTTGATTGATTTTAATAGGTTTACCAATTGAGAACTGTGTGCAAAACATCACAACTTTAAAAATGCAGTTGGAGCAAAGCAATGGCTTCTCATCTGAAGCCATTGATGTGTTAGTGAAGGCAAACCTGACTGTCTCGCAGGTAACTTTAAGAGTTGCTAGATTGGATTCATCTGCTTTTTTCAAACCTGAAGTAACTGGTTCAGCTAGTTTGGGCATTAGTTCCAACGAAATAAGAAGAAAATCCTTTCATCTTTCTAAATAACATATGCTGCAAAATTACATTGAATTAACCTATACACATAAAGCATGAATTACTCCACAAAGCACTTGTGCATAAGTATTACCTTAGTTTCTTCTCTGGAAAACTTTAAAAGTAGCATTGATGCCATTGTTCAAATAGTATAAAAGTGTTACTATCACAATGAGGAATTTCTGGTCCAATGCATGTAAAGTTTAACAAATCGCAAGAGTCATTTGAGATTTAGCAATTTGTACAAATCCTCATTATGTTTTATTTTCATATGGACGCTCAGACAACCTGAATCAAATGTTTGAAGGTAGAGCTCAGCAATTTCAGACTGCTTTCTTGTATCATTTTAGAACTTTGCAACATCAGTTGGATTTTATAAACGTGACGGGGTTTCACCCACAGGTTGGAAAACCCTGTGTTTGCTTCATTTTGAATTGTGAGGCAATTCGGTACTTGTATAGTATTGGCTCTCCCATTTGATTAAGCCCCCAGTATCCTGCTTCCAATCGGAGTCTGGATACTCTCCAGTCCCAGCAATGGCACCAGTAGATGTGGTCACTGCTAGTACCTCTGACCTGTAGGTAGTATTAGTGATGGATCCCAAATGGAGGAGAGTGTTGGCAGGATGGTGATCACAAAGAGGCGGTCATTAGTGACGGTGATGGAGAGGGTTGAAAGCAAGGTTTAGATTTCAACAGGGTCCTTTCGAGTCCAGTGGCCCTTCTTCAGAACCGTTCAGTTCTGTTAACATAGTATTCTCTTCACAGATAACTCTGAGATGGTTCTGTTTCAAACACAAACTTAGAGTGACACGCAGTTCACGAGTTAGTGACCATGAGCTTTTGAATAAAACGTGATGAGAATCCAGATTGTTTGTTCGATAAAAGTAAAATAAGAATTCCTTTAAACTGTGCTAAAACTAGATTTTTCTGCTGGCTCAATTCTAAAATTAACACTTTATCCCTACTGATTGCTAAATTACCTGAAAAAATCAACTGAGAATTTAGAATTTAGGCTCAACATTACCTTATAATTACAGATTGAACTGTAGGTCTCAGATTAAATAATGAAAGACCCTGGTGATTGTTGACAGTCCAGGATTTCATCAAGTTTTGAGAATGGAGATTATATTGTGCAAATCTGCAACATTTCCTGGTGATTTTCAATTTGTGTTGACTAAAATATTTTAACAATCCTTATGCTGCAAAGTTTATAATTCTAATTTCATGACACATTGAGAATGATAAAGGTACTGTGTTGTTAACATAATTTTGTTTTGTATTTCTCAGTTATATTATCATTAATGTCAAATGCAAGGCTGAAACATGTTTCTCTTTACAGTTAATTCGTGGCCTTATTATCACAGCAGACAGGTGTGATGAGGAGAGCCTGGCTCTAATGCTGTCAATTTCAGACAATGCAAACATTTCATCTCTGGCTGCTGAACTGTGTGCTTTGACTCCTTTGCAAAGTTATAGTCTTATTTTGAAAATCAGCCAGCACATAGATTTTAGATGCTTCGCTTATAAGGTAAAGCAAAAAACATTTCACATGAATATTTTCCTTTATGTTTTAGTGTTCTTCCAGTCACTCTGTCTCTACTTCACCATCTCTGCGCAGGAATCATGAGCTAGCTCAATTTCTTCTTGATTCTTTATACAGTAAAAAGCTTTGGAGGCCTTTTCCCTGACTGGCCTGATAGAAGCAGGAGTTGGAGTTTGGCCAGGGCGACAGACAGAGCAAGGGAAATCAGGAAGTCATTACCCAAATTGTTGCCCTGCAATGCTCCTCATATCCTTTTGATTTGGAAGCCTACATTTTCCCCTCTAATTAATTTAAAGTTCTCTCTACATCTCTAGTTATTCGATTTTCCAGGACACACTGGTCCCAGCCCGTTTCAAATGAAGCCTTCTACCCTTGTACAGGAGGCAGTGCCCCATGTACTGAAGCCATTTCCACCCATACCAATTTTAAAGCCATACATTTAACTCCTTGAATTTATTTGCACTTTGCCAATCTGCCCCTGGCTCAGGAGGTAAGGTACTAATCCTGAACTTATTGTCTTGGAGGTTCACTCTTAACTGTTCAAATACTTTCAACAGAACCTCATTTCTAGTTCTATCAATGTTGTACCAAAATGGGCATCAATTGCATTCTTCCCGTTCCTCTCCATTCCAAAGAAGATGCCTTCAACCCTGGCAGAGGACAAGCAACATAGACTTTGGGTCTCCGGCTCATGGTTGCAGAGAACAGTATCTAAGCCTGTATCTATACTGTCCCCAGTCATGACTATGTTACTTTTGTGACCCATACTTGAATGGCTCCCTGTACCAAGGTGCTGTGATCAATTCACTCATCCTCCCTGCAATTCCCAGTCTGATTCATACAGCTTGCAAGAACCCTGTAAGTTTTGGATAGTTGCAGGCTTCTCAAATGCTACTCCCTGGCTCCCCATAACTTCCCCACTTGCAGTCACACCCTCCCATCCCTGATCATAGGTTAAATTTGAATTACCTCATCTGAACGTTGTAACTACCTTCTGCAGCAAAGTGTCCAGGTAACTTTCTCCATCACTGATGTGGTGCAACATCTGCAATTCGGATTCCAGCTCCTCAAGTTAGATACCAAAGCTCCTTGAGCTACAAACACTTAGTTCGGGTGCGTTTGCCTCAGATCAGCTTCATATGCAGCAGCTCCCTTTATTTTGGCAGTAACACATCATCCATTCTGCCGTCACGATCACATTTTATGTAATTTATTATTTAATTACTCTAGAATCCTTGCTCGTTACACTTATGTTTTTATTTTTTAAAAATTGTGGTTTCAATGTTATATTTAGCATGCTGTTTAATATATTTTATTACTTATATTTTATATAATATTTGTAATAGATCTATTCACGACTATAATAGGTTATGAGAGAGAACCCCAATTCCGCTGCGTATTGATAAAAGTGTGTACGTCTGCATTTGTTAGTCTGCTGCATTATGTCACATGGAATATGAATGACTCAAATTATATCCTATGTGCCATTCTGTCTTTAGCTCCAGTATTGTGATCCAACTTTAATTACTGAAGAGTTTCAAAGTGTGCTTCAGTAAAATGCTTTCTTTTTTATCGTTACCAGGCACTTCTACCAATGCTACTACCTCCTAATGTTTATCAGGTAATGGACAATATCCTGGAGATGTTCTCCAGCCTCAGTTCTTTCACTACTAAATCATTAAAAATCTTGGATTTGATCCCCAATCTTTTGCAGTCTGTGCGTGACTTGAATCTTACATCTATTTTTGAATTCAATGAGGTAAGAGAATTTTACTTTAGTTTTAAATTCAAGATTACTTTAGATTATTGAATATTTTGCTTTGTGGCCGGGCATTGTTTAATATCTTACAAATAAAATCTGTACTTCCTTTCTTGTGAATGGTGAGAAGGTTAACCGTCTAATGACTTATGTCATTCCGTTTCTTATATTTCAGTTACTGCAACACTTTTCTAAGTGGTGATGTTGCATTTTTGTTTAAAAATGTATACAGGTAATACACAGGTTTTGGACAATCGATTGAAGTTAAATTTGTGAAATATCTACTGTCCTCATTTTATTTCTAGTACTTGCGTAACTATGACATTAATGTTTTGGTCCAGGAGTAATAAGTAGCTTCTATTACTAAGATAGATCTATTAACATTTAGACTGCCTACAGTTCTAGGGGAATTTGCATCTATTGAACTCATCAATTGTGGTTGTTTTAGCTCATGCGCTGTGGAAACATAAAATAGGGACGGCTTAAAAGACAAAGATAGCTTTAGAATGTTTGTGTAAAAGCCCAAAGCATTTCAATGAACCTTTATGAGCTTCAGGCACAAAGAAATACATTGTTTCTTCTGATTCAGTGACTCAAACCTCTTTTTCTATCTCTATTTTCTTTGTTCATTTGTCCATCATGCTACAAATACTTTATGCATTCAAATAAAGAGGCTTTTTTAACCACAATTGCTTTCCTGGATCCAGTTTAATGATGCACTCTTATTCTTATACTTTCTGATCAATAATCTTTCACCTCTTTCTAGTTACACTGTGGTTCTCTACCCAAACTGCTACACATTTCTATTGCCTCACATAACTAGAAGATAATTATCCAATGGGAAGTTTGAAGAAAATTAATTTATTTAAAGAGTGATGGGAATCTGGAACTTGCTACCACACAGAGTAATTGAAGCCAATGATATTGTTGCACTTATGATGAAGCTAGACAATCAAATGAGGGAGAAAAGAATAGAGGGTTATGATAATTTTATTTTAATTCATTCAAGGGTAAGGCTTTGCTGGCTGGGCCAGCATTTATTGCCTATCTCTGAATTGCCCTTGGAAAGGTGGTGTTAGCTCCCTTCTTGAACTGCTGCAGTCCTCAGGCAGGTAGATTCAGAATATAATTTGGGAGGATGTTCCAGGATTTTGATCCAATGACACTAAAGGAGCAATGATATATTTCCAAGTTAGGATGGTGAGTGGCTTGAAGGGGAACTTGCAGGTGGTGGTGTTCCTTACATCTGCTATCCTTGTCTTTATAGATGACAGTGATTGTGGGTTTGGAAGGTACTGTGTAAGGAGCCTTGGTGAATTTTTGCAGTTCATCTAGTAGATAGAATGCACTACTGCTCCCATGCACCAGCGGTGGAAAGAGTGAATGTTTGTTGATGTGGTCCCAATCAGGTGGGCTGTTTTATCTTGGATTGTGTCAAGCTTCTTGAGTGTTGGAGCTGCACTCAGCCATGCAACTGAGGAGCATTCCATCACACTCCTGATTTGTGCCTTGTAAATAGTGAATAGGTTTTGGGGAAGTGGGAGGTAAGTTATTCTCTGCTGGATTCCCAGCATCTGATTTGATCATATCACTGCTGTATTTACCTGGCGAGCCCAGTTCAGTTTCTGGTAATGATAACCCCCACAATGTTAATAATGTAAAATTCAATGATGTTATGTCATTGAATGCCAAGGGGGTAAAGATTAGATTCTCTTTTATTGGAGACAGTGATTGCCTGGCACCTGTGTGGCATGAGTGTTACTTGTCAGCCCAAGACGGAATACAATCCAGGTCTTGCTGCATTTAAACATAAATTGCTTTGGTATCTCAGGAGTGGCAAATCGTGAGTGAACATTCCCACTTCTGACCTTATGATAAAGGGAAGACGATTGATGAAGCAATTAAAGATGGTTAGGCTTATATCAGTATTCTGAGGTATTTAGCGGTTCTTGTGATGCAGGAGACCTGGGTTCAATTCCAACTTACTCCAGAGGTGTGTAATAACATCTCTGAACAGGTTGATTTCAAATAAAAGGTATCCTGAGAAACTAGAACTCTTGTGGCACAGTGGTGGTGTCCCTACCTCCAAACTCAGAGGCCCAGTATCATGTCCCACCTGCTCCAGAGGTGTGAACAACACCTTTGAGCAGGTTGATTGGAAAATTCCCACCTGAGGAGTTCTGAGTTCACTGGCTTGATTCTTGGGATGGCAGGTTGACGTATGAAATGAGGTTAAGTCAGTTAGGATTGTATTCATTGGAAGAATGATAGGTGATCTCATAGAAACCTATAAAATTCTAACATAACTCGGCAGGTTAGATGCAGGAAGGATGTTCCTGATGGTGGAAGAGTCCAGAACTAGAGATCACAGCTTGAGGATGAGGGGTAAACTTTTTAGGACTGAGATGAGGAGAAATTTCTTCAGTCAGAGAATGATAAGCCTGTGGAATTCCTTACCAAGAAAATCGTTGAAGCCAGAACATTATGTTTGCAACAAAGAGATGTCTATAGCTCTTGTGGCTAAAGGGATCAAAGGATCTGGGGGAGAGAGCAGCATTAAGATTTTGAGATCACTGAAAAGCCATGTTCATATTTAATGGCAGGCTTGAGGGGTCAAATGGCCTACTCCTGTTCCCATCTTCTATGTTTCCCACCTGCTCCAGAGGTGTGTCATAACATACCTGAACAGGTTGTTGAAAATATCTATCCTGAGGAACTCCTGTCATGATGCCCTGGAGCTGAGATGACTGACTTCCAAAAACCAGGACCATCTCCCTTTGTACCAGGTACCGGCAGCAAAGAGTTTTCCCCTGAATTCTCATTGATCCTATTTTTGCTTGAGCTCCTTGATGCCAAACACATTTAAATGAAGCTTTAATGTCAAAGGCAGCCATTTTCACCTCACCTCTTGAACTTTCCTTTTTTTGTCTATGTTCGAACCAAGGCTGAAATGAGGTCAGGAGTTGATTGGTCCTAAGTGGAAACCAAACTGAGTATCAGTGAGCTGTTTATTGCTTACTAAGTGCCACTTGACAACAGTGTTGATGACCATGACCACTTCCAGCAATTCACTAAATGATTGAGAGTAGCCTAATGGGGCAGTAATTGGTCAATTGGATTTGTTGTATTTTGTGCATGCATGAGAGACCTGGGCAATTTGCCACATTGCTGGTTAGATGCCAGTGTTGTAGCTGTACTAAAATAGCTTGGTTTAGGTTGTTGCACATTTTGGGGCACATGTCTTCAGAAATATTGCAGGAATGTTGTCAAGACCCCTAGCCTTTACAGTATTCAGTGCCTTCAGCATTATCTTGATGATACATGGACTGAATCATTTTGGCTGAAGAATGACATTTTTATGTTGGGGACTCCTAGAGGAGGCTAAAGTGGATCATGTACTTGGTATATCTTGCTGAGAGCTGTTGCAAACACTTCAGATTTTATCTTTTGCACTGATTTGCTGGGATCCCCTCCTGTACAAGATGGGGATATTTGTAGAGCCATCTCTGACAGTGAGTTGTTTAGTTGTTCAACACAATTCATGACTGGATGTGGCAGGACTGCAGAGTTTAGATCTGATTTGTTAGTTGTGAAATTGTTAGCTCCGTCTAATACCTTGTTTGGAACACATGTAGTCCTGTCTTGTAGCTTCATCAGATTGACACCTCATTTTTAAGTATACCTGGTGCTGCTGCTGGTATGCCCTCTTGCACTCTCCATTGAACCAGGGTTGATCTCTTGGCTTGATGGTAATGGTAGAGTGGGGGATATACTGAGCCATGAAATTGCAGATTGTTTGTGAGCTTGATTCTGTTGCTGCTGATGGCCTACAATACCTCATAGAAGTCTAATCTTTAAGTTGTTAGATCTGCTTGAAGTCTGTTCCATTTAGCACAGTAATAGTGCCACACGTCACGATGGAGGGTATCGTCAACGTGAGACAGAACTTTATCTCCACAAGGACTGTGCAATGGTCACTGTAACCAACGCTGCCATGGACAGATGCATTGGCAGCAGGTAGATTGGTAAGGATGAGGCCGTGTGTTTTTCCCTCTTGTTAGTTCCCTCATTACCTGCTGCAGACCCAGTCGAGCAGCTATGTCCTTTAGGACCCTACCAGCTTAATCAGTAATACTGCTGCCGGGCCACTGTTGCTGGTGGACTTTGAAATACCCCACCCAGAGTGTATTCTGAGCCCTTGCCACCCTCAGTGCTTCCTCCAGGTGATGTTCAACACGGAGGAGTATTAATTCATCAGCTGTGGGAGGACGGTACATGGTAATCAGCAGGAAGTTTCCTTGCCCATATTTAACCTGTTGCCTTGAGACATCCTGATTTCTGTAGTCATAAAGTAATTTAAATTAAGAAAGACAGGAAGAGACTCAGGCATATCATTATTACCGACAGGAACTTTTCGATGATATGGTCTGTTTCTATGTTGTTTGTCCAATTAAATTCTAGACTTTTCTCTTTAAATATCCAAATTCCTCCCACCTTGTAGCTTAAAGCTCTGTCCACAGCCCTGCTTACTGGTTGCCAGGACACTGAACCCAACCCAGCTTACATGGAGCCCATCCTAATGAAACATATCCTTCTTTCCCAGTACTGTTGTTACTGTCCTGTGAATCTAAACTGTATTTTTCATATCACCTTTTAAACCATGCTTTTGATTCTCTAATCTGCTTGACCCTATACCTGTTGGCATGTGGCTCAAGTAATAATCCAGAAATTATTATTTTTAAGGTCTTTCACTTTCATTTTTTCTTATAGTTTCAAGGTGTCTTTATAAATAAAGACATTCCCACTGATATGGATTTTATCAAATTAAACTTTAAAATAAAAGGTTTAAATGTTTTGCAAGAGCATATCAATATAACACTCTTAAGTTACAAGTACCTGTGAAAAATAATTAGCATTCTTGTCTTTATAAAGACCCATCATCTTATTGGCATGGCAGTTAAGTATTTAATTTATTCAGGTACTGGGGATTCAGTCGTGCACCTATACATAGAAAGAAAGACTGCACGGCCAGAAAGTCCAGTTTCAAGTGTCACTTGGCCCAGAGGTGTGTCACTGCATGCCTGAATACGTTGATTAAGAATATTATATAGGAACAAACAGAAACTGTAGTTATTATGTTACAAAAGTCATTCAGACAAATGCCACCATTTGTGTGCCCTTCTTGAAAATATTTAGCTATGCAAAACTTACTATGTAGCTTTTCTCCCACTGCTAATCTAATCTTCCCTGTTCAGGGATTTTAAAGAAGGAAATAAAAGAAAATATACTTGCTGGAGTAGAAAATATGCCTTGTGCATGCATCTCATACTTTCATGTTTGCCATTTGTGAAAATAATTTATAATGTTTTAGAGGAACCTAATCTTTGCAAAAGATGGGACTTTGTAGTGTAGGGGTACAAGTAGATAAAACTTTGAACTGTATAAAGTTGAGATTCCAGCTTTATCCTTCATTACATTGATACGAATACAACAATCTATGCCATGATTTCCTTTTATCTCTGGAAGTTTAAAAATTGACATATATTGTCTTTTATTTCTGTCTAGAATGTTCAAAGAAGGACTTTGAGAATGTCTGCAAGTAGTTCTTTACAAACCCTCTCCAAAGCAATTTGTAGGACTCAGTCAACCAGCTTACTCGGTGGTGGAATGATGTTCTCAGAATTACCACAAATCGACACTCTCACTGAGGGAGACTTAATCAAATACAACGTTCCTACAAATACCAGTAAGAGAAGCTCAGCTGAATGGAGGAGACAGTTTTGTTGTGTACTGGGGTCATTGCTTGTAACTGAAACACCCTTTTTCTAGTGATATTTAAATATTTTATTTCAAAGAAATGAAAAACAAACTGATGATAAAATTAATGTTTGGCAATTTGGGTAGAGCATGAATCGATTACACAATGAGCCAAAGTTTGCTTCCCCTCAGGTGGGTCAATGAGTGGTTGAAGGAGATAAAATTGAGTTGAATTCCACAGTTACCTTTTCTGGTAACACTCACCTGCTCCCAACAGTACTGCAGTTTTAAATATGAAAGACAAATTATTGGGTGCCACATCCATCTTTAGGCCAATTAAAGCCCTTAAGTAAACAATTCATGGCAGAGGAACCAGATTGAAATCTGCCAAGTTCCATTCCTCAGGCTATAGTTGGGAAAAAGATGGGGTATCTGTTTTATAGGCTCCCTAGGTGCAGCAGAGAGGATCCCCTCCCTCTATAAGATCTACCCCACTACTGTGCACCCTGGACCCCACCACTGTGTCTCTCTTGCTAAAGCCTCCACTCTGGTCCTACAAAGATCTACATCCAACATTGCTCCAGTAATGATCTCTATTGGCATCTGCTGCAGTGTCAGCAGTGGCCACTGTTCCTAAGTGGTGCTGTTCGGGACCAGAAAGTTGCTGGTCATTAGCCAGCAGCTTTTAGGGGTGAGATATCTTCCCTTGATGGGAGCGGCAGTCTCATCATGAGATGATTAATACCCTGCCAAGTGTTAAGTGGCTGTGGGAGAGGTTGTTTAAGTGGGATGGGGAGGCTGGGGATTACAGGCTCTCCATCAATATTTTCATCAAAGGAGCAAAACCCTGGTGAGACATAAAATACTTCCCAGTGAGATTTATCCATTGTAGATTTACCAAGATGATGCCAGGAATGGGGAGCTTTACATGGGAGTTTCCAAAATGATGAAGGATTTTAATAGATCAAATAGAATAACACTATTTCGACTGGTTGGGGAATCTATCTGAGTCAGTCTTCAAGGGTTCAACGATCACTGATGAGCTTAGCAGTGATATATTCGATGGTCGAATAGCTTGCCGACTGTTATTGCCTTCCACATAAAGTAACAGTCAATGGTTGAATTTACAGGTGGCACAAGTCACATACATTAGTGTGCTCTTGTAAGGCATAGGAGAAAGGATAGCAGTAAAAGGAGGAGGTTTGGACATGATTACACTGGCCCTAATAACTATTAATGTGTTCAATCTGCTTATGAGAATGAAGATCGTGCTCCAAGAGATAATATGTTTTGTTGTCATTAATATTTCAAAGCGATATTGGATTTGCAGTTAATTTGTTGATTTAGACGTCCTTCTGGAATACCAAATGACCTAAACTTGGGCACTACACAAAATCCAAATTGATTAAAACCCATCTCTGTGACTGCTGTCATAAATGTAGCAAAGAATACCATTAAACTGACATATAGTCCCCGATATTTGCAGCCAAGCCAAACTTAATGGAGAATTTGGCAAAGCCAAGAACACAAGCATTCTACTGCATTTAATAACATGACACTATTAATATTTCAATCTTCCATTTTCTGCCCATTATACATATAAGTAGAGCTGTGAGTCAGCTGTGAAAGTATCTGGAGCAAGGTGCAGTTCATGGTTTGTGCTTTCTGAATCAATTTAAAACGGAGAGGTGGAGGTGGAAAGAACAGAGATTTAGGAAGGGACGGCATTGTAATATGGCTGAAAGAACAGCTGCTAATAATGGAGTGAGATGTAGATAATGTGAAGTAATCCAGTATTTAAGAGATACAGTATGGAGAGAACAAAGAACAATGATGCCTTATTACATTAAAAAAAAGGAAGTTTCATGAAAAAAGCTCATTGTATCTTTAAATGTCTGGAATCACTTCACTCTAGCCATTTTTCTGAAGTAACCTTAGTAAAAGATTTACTTTACATAAATAGAGGACCCTTAATTTTGTCTTTTGACTACATAGAGGTACCTTAAGTATTACATTAGTAGTAGGATAAATAAAACGAAATGGAGGCAAAGCATTCTTCTCAATCTTTAAAGTTGGTCTGGCTAATTGAGAAAAATAATGTAAAAGCACAAAGATGAAAGGTAACATGGTTTTGTGAAGGGTAGGTCATGCCTCACAAACCTTATTGAGTTCTTTGAGAAGGTGACCAAACAGGTGGATGAGGGTAAAGCGGTTGATGTGGTGTGTATGGATTTCAGTAAAGCGTTTGATAATGTTCCCCATGGTAGGCTATTGCAGAAAATACGGAGGCATGGGATTGAGGGTGATTTAGCAGTTTGGATCAGAAATTGGCTAGCTGTAAGAAGACAGAGGGTGGTGGTTGATGGGAAATGTTCATCCTGGAGTTCAGTTACTAGTGGTGTACCGCAAGGATCTGTTTTGGGGCCGCTGCTGTTTGTCATTTTTATAAATGACCTGGATGAGGGCGTAGAAGGATGGGTTAGTAAATTTGCGGATGACACCAAAGTCGGTGGAGTTGTGGATAGTGCGGAAGGATGTTGCAGGTTACAGAGGGACATAGATAAGCTGCAGAGCTGGGCTGAGAGGTGGCAAATGGAGTTTAATGCGGAAAAGTGTGAAGTGATTCACTTTGGAAGGAGTAACAAGAATACAGAGTACTGGGCTAATAGTAAGATTCTTGGTAGTGTGGATGAGCAGAGAGATCTCGCTGTCCATGTGCATAGATCACTGAAAGTTGCCACCCAGGTTGATAGCATTGTTAGGAAGGCGTACGGTATGTTAGGTTTTATTGGTAAAGGGATTGAGTTTCGGAGCCATGAGGTCATGTTGTAGCTGTACAAAACTCTGGTGCGGCCGCACTTGGAGTATTGCATACAGTTCTGGTCACCGCATTATAGGAAGGATGTGGAAGCATTGGAAAGGGTGCAGAGGAGATTTACCAGGATGTTGCCTGGTATGGAGGGAAGATCTTATGAGGAAAGGCTGAGGGTCTTGAGGCTGTTTTCGTTAGAGAGAAGAAGGTTAAGAGGTGACTTGATAGAGACATACAAGCTGATCAGAGGATTAGATAGGGTGGACAGTGGGAGTGTTTTTCCTCGGATGGTGATGGCTAGCACGAGGGGACATAGCTTTAAACTGAGGGGTGATAGATATAGGACAGATGTCAGAGGTAGGTTCTTTACTCAGAGAGTAGTAAGGGCGTGGAATGCCCTGCCTGCAAAAGTAGTAGACTCGCCCACTTTAAGGGCATTTAAATGGTCATTGGATAAACATATGGATGATAATGGAATAGTTTAGGTTAGATGGGCTTCAGATTGGTTTCACAGGTCGGCGCAACATCGAGGGCCGAAGGGTCTGTACTGCGCTGTTATGTTCTATGTTCTATGTTCTATAACAGATGAGGACGAAGGCCCAAAATATATGATTGCAGATTTTAACCATTTAACCTATTTTGGCCATTTATTACTTTGGCTTCAATTAAAATCACGTAACTGTTGTAATGGACAGGAAAGAAGATTACCTTAGAGTACACTGGGACCTTGATCAGATGGGAAAATGGGCTGAGGAATGGCAGGTGGAGTTTAATTTAGATAATTGTGAGGTGGTACATTTTGGTAGGGCAAATCAGGGCAGGCCTTACACAGTTGGACTGAAGGCTATGTTTCCGTGGTCTACATCTCTATTACGCTATGACTTTAACCAAATTGCTGGCCTTGCAGCCAATTCTCGTTTAAGATGAATACTGTTGTTTGATATGAGATATAAAGAAACTTGCTAATAGTTCTTCACTTTTGGCTGCACCAGCTCCCTTCTGCATGAACTTTTATCAGGATATTTTAAAAGCGCCAAATGGACCCTTGCTGTGGACCTTCCTGAAACCGCTGCTACTTGGTGAAATACTATATGCTCCAAGCACAATTCCGATACAGAGACTGATGGACAAGGTGAGAGAGTTCAATATGTTGCAACTGATGGTTTTATACAGTTACAATTTGCATTTCATATTTGGAGCTAGATTTTGAAATTGCACAATAATGTGAAATGATGGCTAGTAAACAAAAAAAAAGGCTTATCAAAAATAAAAATCAGGAAAAATGTAAAATGACTGTCCACTAAATAGCATACTATTGCCTGATTTACACCATCGTACACACTAAAAGCCCACCCATCGGATTTTTCCTTCATAAACACGTTTGGGCATATTGTTGCATATCTTCATGGCCATCCTATCTTCTGGCTCGGAGGTAGGGACACTAGCACTGGACTACAAGATCCCTACCTCTTGGGGTTTGCATGCAACCAGTGCCCTTTATTAACTGAAGGTACTAATTGTTAATTTGTTTTCTTCTCCCTTCTGTTTTGCTTAAGGATATTGGTAACACAATTTAAACATGTATGTAATTTAGCAAGATGACCACATTGATGAGAATGATTTTAACATGTCACAATGAAAAGAAAGCTTAGCTATTACACAAATTCTTAAAATCAAGTAAATTTGTGATTGAAAAGCTAGTATTAGCAATGGCGACCGGGGTGCAATTTTCCCCTCCTTAGATGGCAAGATTATTAGATCAGTTAGCCCTGGAGAGATACCTGCCCCTTTCTGTCCACTGCAGCAAATAACTGTTGGATGAGAAAGTTCACTGGGGACCATTTCAACTCACCAGGAATTGAGTCCCTGAAGCCATTGATAAATGGCCACTTAAAGGCCTCAACTTGCCACCAGCTTGTTTATCTCCCTTCTTGGCAGGTTTCCCAAGTGGGCCTCCATATGCCTCAAACTGGGACCAATTGGGGCTGTAGAAAACCATCCTGAGACCTAGCATCCAACTTCCTGAATCTCGTTTCCCTGCGACTTGCACTCTGTGAGGCCCTAAAAAAGACTTATCTTTTTGACATGGAGTCCCTTAAGATTAGGCCTCTGGCAGTGATATCTAGGACCTAGAAGCTATTGGTCTCTGATCATCTGGCAATTTCTGATGAGGCAGGACTTCAATGTCAATGCCTGCAATTTATTGAGACACTTACTGGTCAGCTTAACATACTGAATGGAGCATGATTCAGTGAGCTTTCTTGTTGATGGGGCTGTGAGCCAAACACTATCGGAAACACCTGCTCCCACACTTAGATTCATGGCTGAGGTTCTCTAGATTGCTATTTAAAATCCATCTGATTCACCATGTGTTCTTTAGGCAAAGAAATATACTGTCCTTATCCCATCTGATTTATGTGTGACTCCAGACCTACGCTAGTGTGGTTGACTCTTCTTTTTACCTCTAAACTTTTTTGAAAGTGGCACTTGCTACCTTGTGGATAATAGCGGTTTTCACAGATGAAGAACTGACTATAGTTTAACTATATGCTGTGTATGTGTGCAGGATATGAGCAAGTGCGTATGGTGTTTATCAACTTTGGAGAGTCTTAATGCAGGGTATCTACCAACCATTTTATAATTTGCTCAAACTTCCTCTTCATTGGTATTCATGTGAGGGGACATCTAGGGATGAATAACAGGCAGCTGGTCTGCTGCCATCTGTTGTATGTTCCAGTCAAAGTAAATGCCCCAGACTTTTCTCAATACACTCCAGTTTAACCTATTTATAATCTAGGAAACTGTCTGTTTTGATAACCATTGCTAGTGGTAATATGAATGTTTTCATTGTGAAAACATGTTCAGATTGGTTATGAATAGTAAAGAGATGAGATCTTCCCTAGTTTGTTTTAAATGCTTTTGGTAACCCAGTTGAGGAGACTTCTGGGCTGAATACAAAATGGACACAATTTTGCAACACATCCTGCCTTTGTGAGTCCAGAGGAGTACAGTGCTCATTCTGATCTCACAAATATGATGAATAAAATTCCAAGAATCTCCTTATTAGGGAGAGGCTTCCACTGGGCAGTTTACACTCTATATTCAAGTAGAAATGAAACTGATAAGCAGTACACACACTTCATCCATTTTTCTGTTATTGTTTCATGAAAGTTGCAGTTCAAAAACAAACATAAGACACTGTTTTGAATCCTAATAAACTCCTGCTTTTTTTTGTGGGTGTGCTAGGAATCCATTTAAAGTTTGGAAAAATTACTATGAAAGATATCGGGATGCAATCAGATTTTCAGTTGCAAAATAGACAAGATAACTGTGAAAATCTCTCATTGTCTTATGCCATTGCAGTGCAACAAAACTTCTCCAGAAATCCCTGGATCTTTAAGTAGATTCCATATTACAGCAGCTGAATGATATTGATGTAGTGCTTATTACTTTGTTCTGTGTTTTATTCAGTCCAACAGCATATTCAGCACAGTTAACGACCTGAAGACATATTCTGAAGTCTGGCTGAAATCGGCAAATGTTTTGCAGAAACAGGAAAACTTTAAGTCAAGTCAGCTTCAGGTATCTAAGAAACGAATATAACTTTGTTTGTGTAAAAGCGGAGTGAAAATGTTTGTTTTCATCATACTGTTTGGATGAACAACACAATATTGTCTCCATATATTAGGTCTGTACTTGATGGCAACCTTTTAACTTACTGTGACTATTGATGCATTCAGTTTATCTTCAAGTTCTGAATATAAATTTAGTCTTCAACATAATCACAAAATATGATTGATATTTTGTTTATAAGAAAGCTCCTTCTGTTTATATAGAAGGGGTCAGTTAGCTCACCCATAGACTCGAATGTGATGCAGAATAAAGCCAAAAGTGCAGACTCAATTTCTGTGCCAGCTGTGATTGTTCATGGATGCCTGTCTTCTCACCCTACCCCACACTTACTGAGTGGTTACCTTTGAACTATATCTAATCAAGTGTCTCCCTAATGGGGAGAGATTCCTATGGTCCTCTGTGGACTTTGGTCTCTTAAACATTCATGCATAGTATACAATATGTGGATTTTAGAAAGAAGTTAGAAGCTGGTTGTGTGGGCTTGGGAGACTGGAGGTGGCAAATTGGAGGGAAGATCTCCAGAAATTTGAGGCCTGTGACAAGATTAGAACACCAGATGACAATAGTACCACCCTTGTCAGCAAAATCAGGACTAGACCTGAGAGAATGAAGTACAGCAAGTACAGAGGGAAACAGGTTTGATTAGGTTAGGGAGCAGCAAGATTAAGGCAGCTAGTGTCGCAGTGGCAGTTCTTGAAGAGATGAAGGCTGGAAGAGCAAAAAGGAGGGGTTCCATGTGGAGTAGGAGTAATGGAGATGGCTAGAAGGGTCCAAGGAGCAGAGAGTGGAATTATGCCCAAAGAAATAGGCGCGGAGGTGAAGGTGATGGATGAAGAGTTCAACATCACAACATCAGAATTATATCCTGCCTTGTCTAGCCTGCATGTGGTTTCAGGTCCACAGTAACATCAGTTGCTTCTTAACTGCCCTCAGAAATGGCCTAGAAATCTACTAATTCAAAAGTAATTGAAGATGGGTTACAGGAAAACTCACATCCTACAAAAGAATATTCCTTCAAACTCTTTCAAATTTTACAGATGGCATGATGGAAGCATCAAGCAGTTGGTCCACATTTCAGCTTGTTGTGGATACTTACGGATTCCATCCCACCCGGCTATGACCTTGCTCATGGCAGATAGAGGCACAGGCCATGTGGGAAGCCTGGCAGCTTTATGGCTCATGTCAGGCAGGGGAAATGTGGGGAATTTCCATTGTGAATCCCCTGTGCCCATCGGAGGGACTTCCACCATGGTCACTTTTTTACTCTCCTCCACCCAGCCATTCAAACCTGCCTGGCACCCCTTCATCCCCATTGGGTCCCAGCAGTCTGATCCCAATAATAAGCTGAATCTATATGAAGTTCATTTTCAGGACTGCTTCTGTTCTCAATATGACATTGGTGCAAATCTCACCAAAAACAATTAATGTTGATGTCAGCATTAATTTGCCAAATGTTGCTTTGAGGGGCAGGTTCGCCTCAGGCAATTGGGACACCTGGCACTCTGTAAAATCCGGCCCCACATCTGACAAGGATCTGACTTTGTCTCCAAATTAAAGTTAAAAGGAATACTTTGGTGAAAAGTTATTTGACCTTTTTATTTTGCTTGATTCTGAAAGTGGAGTGCAGTGTCACCTTTGCACCAAATATATAATATATCATATTAATAATATGAGCATAGTTCTTTTAGTTATAAGTTTCTTGACATTTTTGATGGCTTTTCAAAAGTTCTGTGTCACTTACTTAATTCTATTCATTAGCCTTCACTTGCAAATATGTTTTGTTTGACAATGTGAAAGTTCAGGCCAAAGTAGAAAGTGATCTAGTGTCTGAGACATTTGTATATTGTTTAGTGTTAATGCATTATTTAGAAGTTCTCCTCTACATTTATTCCAGTGTGCCGATTTTAATATATATTTTTGACATCTGTAATAATCAAGATTAACGTCAATGAAACTCTTGTTATTTCAGAAGGCAATGCAGAATAATTTTATACGCAGTTTCATTCAGTCTCAACTGGATATTGATCTTGATAAACTTTTGGAACATTTACAACAATATGGTACAGTTTTCATTTTGTAGATATTTCTGCTGTGCCCTCTTATTTAGCTTTGTTTTAATTGCAATAATGTGTTTAAATGTATTCCATATGTATATACACTCTTATAGATTTTCTTCTTCAGTCACTTCAGGAGAAGAGAATGCTGATTTTTCTACTTTTACCTTTCTTTCATTTTTATAACCTCGAGCATTATCTGTTGATTTACTTTATAATTTGTACTCTCGATCTCTTCCTGTCATGTTTTGTTTATCTTTGCCATATTCACAACTTACTCTTGTTCATTTCCGCTATACTTTGATTTATCACATATTCCTAAATTTTCTATTGCCCCAATTATCTAGATTAAAATCGTCTATGTGCCTAGTTATGTGGCTCACTAGAAATCTTTCCCTTATTATGTGGCTTGCCAGAACAATAGTCCAGCACAGTTCAGATATCAACCTTCCAAGTGATACAGACTCACTTTCCCTTGTACTTCTGGTGCCCCACAAACCTCCCCCAAACTAATGTTTGACCCATGTATTGATTTCTCTAATCTGTTTGCCTGAAGTCAATTTTCGTGTGGCTCAGGTAATAACCCGGAGACAATTACCTATGAGAGGTTCTGCTTCTTAATTTGGTGCTTAGCTCCTATGCTGTCTGTCACTGGTACCTACATGGACCACAATAACTGGATGTGTCCTCTCCCACTATGAGGTTCCTTTCCAGTCCTGAGCAGATATCCCAAATCCTGATATCTTCCAAACAGTAGAGTCCTCTGGATTCTTTGCTGCAAAGTATGATGTCAATCCCCCTCATGATACTTCTGCTACAGTCACTACATTGCATTATTATGGCTTCCTGTTCCACAATGCTATGATCAATGTGTTCATCTACCCTGCAGCCACTCTCCCTTGTCCTTAACTACTGACAAACTCAGAAGACCATATCCTAAGGGACTATTTCCTGGTACAACATGTCCAGGTAACTCCCACCATTTGCTGATGTGTCTCCGCGTCTGCAGCTTGAACACTAGCTCAATGACTTTGAACTGAAGCTGTTCAAGCCACAACACTTACAACAGATGGATTTACCCTGGATCATCCAGTGCCTGATATATTGTGCAGCCATAATATCTTCTGTTCTGCCATCCTCATTGTGTTTTTCTTCAATTCCTAATAATTTTACTGAATTGTTTATTTTCTTTTTATGTACTTTTTTTATTCTTATCGCCAGCTCCTTTACTGTTATAAACTTTAGGTACAGAATGGACCTAGATTCTTTCCTTGTGGTAGTGAGAACCAATTCCTATGTATGAAAAAAATATAAAGAGCAAAGTCACATATCTTTGCCCTAGTGCCCTTACTCATTCAATTTCCAGCACCTTTTTTGTTCAAAGTCACGATCAGCATTTAAATCTTTATGTACTGGCAGAGCCCCGAGCCAGGTGGTTTAACTTTGATTTCATTCAATGCGTGGAAAATTATAAGCTATTTATTGTACAGGAGTGATCACTTTAAATTGGTGATTGGGCGTTAGAATCATCCATGGTGTAAACATTTCTGAAATATTGAATGTATTAATTGTTATAGATACTTATTGTGTTCTAGAAGTGAATGTGGGGAAAGATTCGGATGCATATTGCAACATGTATAATCACATAATGTTATACTTTCCGTTATCAATAAGTATTAGGTCCTCTTACATAACTTACCAATTGCATTTGAAGTAGACTTGGTAGATTTTTTATATTATAATTTATTTATGCTAAATTAGATTAATTTGACAATGTGTTATTTTTTCCATAATACTCAAGCTTCTGTGTCCTTTCTAAAGAATACTTGATGTATAGTCATGTGCTTTATCAATAATTAATCGGTAAATTGCAGCCTTAAACAACAGAAGCTAGCTAAATTGGATTCTGTTTTCTCCTTGTCATTAAAATCTTCTGTTAAGCATGAAGAGATAATCATTGTGGTCAGGAATATGGATCTGAGTAGGCATAGCCATCTTCCCAACAAAATGATTGGCTATCTATCAAATGAATTATCAACTTCAGTACCTGTATGTCTTAGTTCAAGAATGTACCACATGATGGGGTACAAAACCACAAAGATGAGAACGTCTGAGGCTTGATCTTCACTCTGGTAAGAGTTGATTAGAAAAGCAGCTCAGACAGTATTGTTAATCTGAATAGCTTTATGTTGGGGAGAAAGAAGGCAGCTACCACCTTAGTGTGATCGCTATTGTGAAAAACATATATGTTGATATAATCTGAAACCTAGATTGATTTAACAGTAGTTTCATATCCTTTGTGGCTAAACATCCTGTGCGCAAACACTTGTAGGTTTCACAATTTGGAATGAACAATTGAACCTGTACTGAGGGGCAATCCATAATAAGAATTTATATTTTCAATGTGAGGAGGAAGAAAGTCAAAAGACAAGAACAAAAATAATAATGATCTAATTAACTTAAAAATTGAAAACTTTACATTTTTCAGAAGAAGCAATCTCTGAAGCAATGAATGATCCAGTAGTACAACAGATCACTGTCCTCTCACAGCTGATGGTGAATATCTCATCCTGCATATTACTAGACCGCTTTAAACATCTAGAATCTAAGGAAGAACTGCATCAGAAAGTAAAAGAACTAATGGAAAAAAACACATTCCTAGCAAGTAAGTGCTTGCTACATTTATCATCCAAGAAAAAGACTGTGTCTTAAAATTTTAATTTTGCACTGAAACCTACGCTTATTTTTGGCTAAGTGCCAGTTGGATCGAATTTTTTGGAGGGTTTAAAGCTGCAAGACCTAACAAGATTTCTCTTCACATCTCACCAAGCCTGCCTCATTAAATATCTTCCCTGAACAAAAGCATCTCTCTTGCCTGGTCTTACCACATGCTGTTCTTAGACCAACTCGCCACTCAGCAGATATCTACCAAAAGACTGGCATCCCTTTGCACTGCACTGTATTTAAATGGCCACTGTGCACCCAGAGAAGCATTGGCAATCTGGTGTTGCTCTCACCAGGAATATAATGGCATAGCAGCCCCCACACTACTCATGGCTCATGGCTCATGGCTAATACTCCCTCACAAATAAAACTCCTTTCTCTCACCCTTGTCACTGTTTGACTCTCAGTCCTCATGGATTACCTGTCCTTAGCTACATTTAGTCTGTAGACCCTCTCTAAGTCACTTAGGCTCTGTCCTCAATGTCTACTGTAGACACGCAGTTTATCATTGCCCTGTAGGAGAATATCACATACAAGCAAGCAATTGGAAAATTCCAGACATGAGCTTTTATTGACTGGCAGCAAAAATAAACACAAATGAACCAATAGAGGCCGCTGTTGATTTCCACAATGCAAACCAAATGCTGGCATCAGGACTAATGACAGTCCATCATGGTCTGCTCCACCCAGCTGTCATCAACTGGTCTTGCTAGTGTTAAGGCACCTAATGTAACTGAGCTCTTTCAAACATAATCTCTAGCCTTCTCCTAGCCCACCTCCGGAAACCACATCTTCAGCAGCACTATTGTCTGCTCCACCATGAACCTGCTCACAACATGTGCACCAACTTGGTAAAGGTGCCACACTGGCTGAGTGACCAGTGCGCGATGTCGAAAGGTTATGTTAGCTGTGCTCTGACCCCTTCCCATTGCAGATTAATTTCAACCATTCATTTTTTTTATTGCATTCATTAGGGTTCATGGTCATACTTACATGACTCATGATGTTGATGTTCCCCTCCTCCTTCAGCACCCTTGGAAGATTCACAAGTGATGAGATGCTTATGGACAGCACTCATTCCCTTTTCAAGTCTTTGCTGCTACCTTCTGTATCACTGCGATGGCAATGTTAGATTTGCAAGCATGGTGCAATTCACTTTTGATGAACATCTGAACCCAAAGCACATTCGTTCTGCATGCGTTGCAAATGGGCAAAGAAATAATCAGAAATCAAGCTCAGCTGGAGATCACAATATGCTTCACGTATTTGACCTTCAATCACCTAGCATCATCCACAACATATGTGGATCTGCACTTTTATCACTCAAAGGGACCCTAACCCTGCCTACCTGAATATTGTCCCAGCAATTTTCCAGTTGTACTTTGCACCTAAAGAATGACTTGTTATAGCAAGGAATACAATTTGTAGTGGACACTGTTGGTACTGGACTTCACCTGGCCATCGACTGGGGGAACAATAATTTAGGAGCAAAAACAGAAGTTGCTGGAAAAGCTCAGCAGGTCTGACAGCATCTGTGGAGAAAAAATCCGAGTTAAATTTTCGGGTCCAGTGACCCTTCCTCAGAACTGGGCTGGATGCTGTATAAAGCAGAGTCCATTACCTCGTTACCAAACAAAATTATGTCTAAGAGTTGTAATAGGTGTATTAGTTCACTTGGTATTTGCTGTAGTTCCCCTTAGCCGCTTTCCGGCATTAGTCTTTTCAAGCAATTTTAATTGAGACAGCTGGATATACTCACCATAGAAGGAATGCAGTAGAGGTTCACCGGGATGATACTAGGACTGTCCTATGAAGAAAGATTGTTTTGACTGGGTCTGTGTTCACAGTTTAGGAAGATGAAAAGGGATCTGATTGAAATGTATAAAATTCAAACATGGATAGACAGACTAGATACAGGGAGGATGTTTTCAATGGTTGTGGAGTCTAGAACTAGGGAACACTGTCTCAGATGTGGAGTAAGACTGAGACAGAGAAAATTTCTTCAGTCAAATACTAGTAAACCTATGTAATTCTCTACCACAGAAGGCTGTGGAGGTCAAGTCACTACATATATCCAAGAAAGAGACAGATAAAATTTTAGATATTATAGCCATCAAGTGTTAAAGGGATAAAATGGGAATCCAGGATGAATATTGGCCAGGACATGTGAGAGGTCCTTGTTCCTGTTCCCCTTAATGGATGGCTGTTGGAGTTTAGGATCTTTACAGACCAAAGTTGTACCAACACAGACTTAGGCTTCACCATAAACTTGATATTTTATTGAATCCACCGCCATCCCTAATGCGAATACCCTATAACAGTTTAGATAACACAAACATAAAATTGAAATTACTGCTCCCAAGGCAAATCCCTCTGTGATTAGCTGAAAAGGACAGCTGAAGCCTTCTGCAGTTTGACTGCAACTCCCAGTAAATTAAAATGTGGGTAAATTTACAAAGATTCTGTCCAAAACTCTTACAAATCTTATTAATATCACTATGATTTGGCTGAAATCCAACTCCTCCATCAGTCTTGATTGTCGGGCTGACTGGTTCTGATCCTTTATTGGACTTCAGTAAAGTCTCTCTCTGATGTTGTCCTCTTTTTGTGTTGACTCTAAACACAATATCACAAGTGCACCTCCTGTTGTCATCCTGCTGAATTGCCCATGTTTAGCAGCTATTTATTTTTAGCTTATTCAATGCAAGGAGATTTGAGGAAAATCTCTTTCACCCAGAGCATGATTGGGACCTGGAATGCACTGGAGGATGGTTGAGGCAGGAAACTCTCAAACTTAAAATATGTTGATGAGCACTCGAAGTATCATAACATTCAAGAATATGGGCCCAGTGTGGGAAAGTGGAACTAGTGTACATAGTGTATTTTTTGATGGTACAGTCCAAATGGGCTGAAGAACCTGTTCTGTACTATATGATTCTAGGCAGGATGGCAGTCACACAGATCTCATGATATTTCTGTAGCAGAAAGTATTACATGGTGAGAGATTCCTGGCTTCAAAGTTGATGGGAATGTAAATTCTTTTCTCCTCAACAGGAGTGAATGGTGCTGTGTGACGGCTGTGGTCTGACGTTTGATGATTGGGGTGATCTCAATTTCTTAATTGACTAATACGATGGTGTTCTCCTGTACCACTGTTTATGATCCAGTTTCTCAACTGCATCAATTCTGTTGTAATAGTTGAATTAACCACTTTCTGCATAGCCCGCCTCTGTATGTTTATGTGGAGGTGTGGCTTTTATTCACAGTACTTATGTCTGTTTTTTCTGAGGTTTTTCACATCTCATAATGGAGGGGGATTCTGATCCTACCAGACATAAAATAACTCCCTGCACTTCTCCAAATAAACTGCGGGATTTTTTTTTTGTGTTCACGTGAGAGAGCCAATATTGGTTGAATGTTTCATCCAAAAGAAAAGATCTTCAGCATTGAGTTTTATGCTCAGTCCTGGAGTGCATCTTGAGCCCATAACCTTCTAACTCAGAAGTGAGCATGCTGCCAAACTGAGCCATGGCTGACAGTTGTCACACCTCATATGAATGTGAGGTGATACGGCAGTTCACTTAGTTTGACAAGAAGTAGCAACTAATCTGAACAATTTATGAAGTGCAAAGGTGATATCTACTGTACCAATGGTTATCCTGGCACTTTGGATATAGACTGTTTTCTCAGCAGTTGCCTCATACAGGAAGAGTGATGAATTTGTTCCTCCTTCCAACCAAAGTCTGCATAACCTGTCTGATCTAGCCGTGGATAAACAATGAACCAATTTTGGCTGGCAGGATTAGAGGTGTGAAAGATAAACTGTTATCCACTTGAGGAGCCATCCCTGTATAGTCTGCAGGTGCCTCCTATAAGATGGCAGTCATTTTTTGAAGCTGATGCAGGAAATAGCCTTCTTGTGATATGTGTAGATTCAAGATTACCAAATTTGGATTTTGAAGTAGTTGTGCATATGCATGCTTTTCCTATGGTGTCACAGCAGAGCAAGTACACATCATGATTTAAAAACTAGAGATTCAGCTCTGATGGATTAACTACTTGGGGGTGAGGGGTGGGAGGTGGGTGGCAGTGGATACTATACAGCTAATAATTGAAGACTGGGATGGCAGTTCCTATCATCAGTGATTTTCCCCCAATATCTACCTCTTGGGGGTTACTATTGACCAGATCTGAACTGAACTAACGAAATAAATGCTGTTAGTACAAGACCATGTCAGAAGTTGGGAATTCTGTGCTGAATAACTCATTGCTTGACTCCCCAAAGCCTGTACACTGTTTGCAAGGTATAGTCAGCAGTGTGGTGGAATACTTTCCATTTGACCAGGCAATTGCAGCTCTGACGATATAAAAAAGCCCAACACCATCCAGGACAAAACGATTTCCTTTTTTAGGATTCCATCCATCAGCTTCCACGTTCACTCCCTTCATCACCAATGCCCAGTGACAGCAATACGCACCTGCTACAAGCTGCACTACAGGAACTCAGTAAGGTTCCTCTAACAGCACCTTCTAAATCAGTGAACTTAGAAGGACTAGAGCAGCAGATGCATTGGGACATCAAACCTGCAAATTGTTGTCCAAGCCAACAGCATCCTGACATGGAAATATATCAAAGATAGCAAGAACTGCAAATGCTGGAGTCAGAGACAAGATAGTATGGAGCTGGAGAAACACAGCAGGCCAGGCAGCATCAGAGGAGCAGGAAAGTTGATGTTTTAGGTCGGGACTGTTCTGAACCTAGCCAATAATGCCCACATCCCATGAATAAATTTTAAAATGAGTTGACAATCCCCAACCATCCTTGAAGTAGTTAAACGACTGAATAGCCTTTTTAGCTGGCTACACCCTCATCCTTTTTATCCTCCCCAAAAGCTTTCAGAACAAGTAACAGCTTCTCTTTGAAAAGCTCAATCTTGCTCTTCATTCAGATCATGAGTATTTTATAGCCTTCTCTCCCAAGATCATTGGGAGTGTTCTCCTGCAGTCTAGTGGGGGGGGGACACTTGTGCATTGAGAACAGTCTTTGAGGCCATTTCTCAATATGGCAGCATTTAAGTACCCATGGGACCCACTGAAGCAGTGCACTTCACAATACCAGGAAACGAATCATGTCAGACAGCCTTACTATGAAAAGCCACTGATATTGAAATCACAACCCCCTTAAATAAATGACAGCACTTTCTCTGTGCCCATGTTTCAAGCTACATTGAATCATGCTATAGAAGCATGAAAGTTAATAGGAAAGAACTTCATTCAAGCACTGGGGAAAATTATTAAAATGGCTTTTCTGTAAGAGTACAAAATTAGTGTTGAAATATTTGTTGCTGCTATATGTTTCTATTGGAAATGAAAATTGTCTACGTTATTGAGTGAGAACTGATATCCACTGCATAATTATGCAAGATGGAATCCACTGTACGTTGATGTGGGGCCTCTGTTATTATACTGTTACATTTTACTTCCATCATCAATTTTCTCCCAACTTATTAGCATTTTAGATGGTTCCTAAAAGCTTTCCATTCCTTTAACCTACAACGGTTTTTTGGGGCATATTTTTAAAGTGAGCGAAGAAAGATTTAAGAAAGACATGAGGGGCAACCTTTTTACACAAAGAGTGGTTCATGTGGAGAAAGACCTTCCAGAGGAAGTGGTGGATGTGGGTACAGTTGCAATGTTTAAAAGACATTTAGATAAGTGCATGAATAAGAAATGTTCGGAGGGATATGGGCCAAGCACAGGCAGATCGGACTGTTTAGTTTGGGATTATGGTCAGCATGGACTGGTTCGACCGAAGGGTCTGTTTCCGTGCTGTGTATCTCTATAACTAGCTTTTCTCACTTTAAATGCCTTAATTTTGATTAGACATTCTCCCTGAGTGTGTTTGTTAATCATGGGTGCTTCATCCTTCTCTTCAAGTCCTTTTTGACGAGGATAAATTTTGCTAAGCATAATGAACTGTCTGTCTATATATTTGCCACTGCCTGTCCACTGATCTTCCTCTGAGTCTATTATCCCAGGCTGCTTTACACAACTCTTTCTGCTTCCTCTGTAATTGCCTTCTTTTAAGTTGTGGCCATTGGTCTGAGACCTATTTGTTCTCCCTCAAGCTAAATTTGAAATTCTACTTTAGGGTATCCTAAGCTATGAGGTCTCTTAATCTTATGGAATTCTACATTTCTACTTTATAATACCTTGTTCTCAGGTGTGTGTACAATGTAATAAACAGTCCCTGCTGCACTCTACAATCTACTGCAGCTATATTGCTGCACGCCACTGCACTGATGCTTCTCTTATTAACAACAGTATCCCTCCTCATTTTACCGATTTTTCCGGATCATAGAATATCCTTAAATATTGACTTTCCAGTCCCAGTCACCCTGCAACCTTGTGTCTGCAATAGCTGTCAAGTCATACACAGCTGTTTCCATTCATGCCTTTAACTAACATATATTGTTACAGTTCTGCAGGCAGTCAGATAAAGAGCCTTAAGCCTTGACTGTTTTTACCACTACGACTTATTTTAATTCTAATTTCTGCTGCATTCTTCTAATTATTCTTTTCTGCTCCTTCCTGTCGCACTCGCCTGATGCATGGTGACCTTCAGATTAAACCACCACAAGTCCTCTCTGTCTGATGAGAGAGCAGCCCCAATGTCTGCTAAGATCATGGCAACTTTATCTTACCTTACTATATTGCACCTCTGCTCTCTTTTTTAAACTTTTTTTAAAAAGTTCCCTTCAATTCAACATATGTCCTGCTAATTAGTTTAGATGATCTCAAAATGCACTGTTCTTATTAGGTTTTAAAGTTGATACTTGATTAATTTGCTGTAACATACAATATTTATAATATTTTCATAATTTTCATAATAAACTAAAACACTGCGGATTCTTGTAACTTGAGTGTCCAAAAGTCTTGCACTTTTCATCCACAAAGAACTCAATCTATCAAATTCTATCACTTGTAACAGAAAAATTCTTACATTAACTTTACATTAAATAAAGAACATGACAGGTGCATATTTTTAACATTTTTATTTTTCATGTATAGTCAGATGGCTGTTTTTTTTCGTGAGCTTTAGGACCCTGACACGGGGCCAAATTAATTTCCCAAGCCTACAGTTGCTAGGAATGAGACTCACTCAGGAATTCCCCAGCAGGCTGTAGGTTGGCTGCTTCTATACTTACCACCCGTTAAGGGCAGTTGGCAGGCTATCAAAGCTGCACGTTCGATCAGAGGATTAGCAGCTCTGTAACCTTGGCAGTTCCACTGGGAGAAGAGGACACTGGAATATAGGGAACATGAAGGTGCCTCAACATAGAGGACCCCTTGCTGGCATCCTCATTAGAAGAGAAATAAACATGAACAAGTCCATCAGGATGTTGGGGAAACCCTGCCGCTGGATCATGCCTTTTATGCAAGGTCCCATCAATGGGCTGTAGAACCTTTAATTTGATGTTCCCTACAGTCTCCCATCTATTGAATAGGCAGACTCTGTGTCTGGTGGGAATGCTACGCTGGTAGCAGAATGCTGGCAAGGCTGCATTTAAATGGTCCTTTAAATCAGGCTACTTGACTGTCTGTCTCCGACCACCAGCACACTCTTGGGCAAATTCCCTGGCTATAGGAATGCGCAAAGGGGCTCTCCTTCTCCCCCTTTATTTTCTCTAGGTTTCTAGCTCTAAGCCTGTTATCACAGGACCAGGCAATTTCAACCCAAAATGTTTTTGCTATTTTAATCTCAGAATCAAAATTCTCTTGGCACAGAAGGAGGCTACTTGGCCTATCTTATCTGCATTGGCTGTTCAAATGAACTTCATTGTCTAATGCCAGTTTTCTGCTTTTTCATCATACCCTTGCACATTGTTTCTATCCAAGTAATCATCCAATGCTCTCATGAATGTCTCAATTGAACCTGCCTGCACCACAATTCCAGACAGTGCATCCCAGACCCAAACCACTTGTCTTGTGAAAAAGTTTTTTTCCCATATCATACTTGTTCCTTTTGCTATTCACTTTAAATTTTTGGCCTCCAGTTCTTGATCCTTTATATGGAAAGTTAGTGCAAAATTACGCAAACATATCACCATTTTACATTGTGCAGCCCGTATGGTCAGTCAAATGTATTTTGTAGAGCATAGACATCCGTTGAAAGTGAACAGTCATGATTATTTGAGGTTTGTATTAATTTAGAACTGATTTTCATAAAGTGGGCACAGAGGAGATTAATAAAGAAAGCTAGAAAAGCAAATACTTTTAGTTTTCTTTAATTGCACAATAGATGTTGTGAATCATTTGCAATAATATTTGGTTACTGAATTAATTAGTATCAACATTCTGGAATATTCAGCCAAATTTTGTGAATTCCCCAGCATTAAATAGGGCAATGACAGAGATGACACATTGCATTTTCCAGATTCTCGAATGAAACATTTTTTTTAAAAATGCACCACTGATACTGAAAGGAATTAATCAGGATAGCATAGCAAAAGTGTGATCTTCAGCTTAAACAAATTGTCCCCTAATAACATTTCCATCCTTATCTTGGTGTCACATTTTCCATTAAGTATCTTGAGACTTTTTTTTGTGCTGATAAAGCTGATTTATCAGTCTGTTCAGTACCTATTGCTATTGTTGCTAAATGCAGTAAGATCGGCTATTTAACCTAGTTTGTAGTAATCAGCTGTTATTGTTCATACCCTTCTGTCATTTGCCAAACTCTAATGTCATAGAATTGAAAGCCCTGTCAATTTGATATATTATGCATTACCTTCGTACCTTTTGTGCCTTTTAATTGTGACTGAGATGGAAAATCTCACTACTTTGAAGATTTTTTTTATCATTGTCTATCACTGAGATGAAAATAATTTACTTATCATTGCCACTTTACATATGAATGTGGGAGAATTGAAAAATCCTTGGTGCATTGTACCATGGGTATATAGCTGTGTGAGTATTCCCATAGAGACAGATAGCAGGATAAGCCTGGGAGAATCGATGCAAATAGGGATTGATGATCCCAGTTTAGACTCAGTTATGCAATTTGACTAAGGGTTTTGTAAATCGAGGAAGAGCAACATCTTTCCTCTTAGTCCCACAAGCAATAAATTTTAAAAATTGTTAGCATGTTCTAAATGTTTCTCTCCACCTGCTGCAATAAGCTCTTTCTCCTTGTATGTGAAAACTGCACTCAGGAGTGCAATAACTGATGTGCACATTTGAGTATTTTTACGTGAAGGTCAGATTTCATTGGATGGAGTTCACTCAGTTACAGATAAACCCTGACATCAAATCAATGATTGAAGCACTGCTTGGTTTTCAACTGTGTTCTGTGTACTTTTCAAGGGAGAATTAGTTAAAGATGGCAGTTAAAAATGATCAAAATGCTTATATTCCTAAGTACCTGAGCACTGAAAGGATTCATTATTCTGATATTGCAATTGTGTAAGTGCACATCACTCTGAGTAATAGGTATCCAGAATAATTTTTATCCAGATTAAAAAATGTTAGTGTTGCCATGGCTGTTATGAAAAAAACTTTTAAGTTCTCTACAATAAATATGAATTATTTTCCTATTTTTCTAGGTATATTTTTCGATGTTGATGATAGCAACACCTCGAGAGTGGCACGATCATTGTCTTCCTCACTTCCAACTAAGTTGAGCTACACTATTAGGACAGACATTCTGCACAGTATGCCGACTGATCAACTGGAAAATCCCAAATGGAAATCTCAGCCCCAAAATTTGCCAACAAGCAGTTTCTATTATAATCGTGTCTTTCTTCCATTGCAAGATATGATTGAGCAAGCGATCATTCGGTTTCAGATTGGTCAAGATATCCCCAACCCTGCAATACAGATCCAAGCAATGCCATTTCCCTGCCACATCAGTGATCAGTAAGTTCATAGAACACAGAACATCTAGATTTCGATATGGAAAACTTTCAATATCATAAACAAGGGTGTAGCCTGGAATAATAGCAGAAAATGCTGGAAATACATCTCAGGCCTTGCAAAATTTGTAGGGAGAAAAGTAAACGGCTGGCTGTTACAAGGTGTCATGTTTTCCACGGCTTCTTCGGCTTAAATATTGGCGTAGAGTGTGTGCATTATAAAGCTAGCTATCCTGTGGTGATTTAACATTAATTGCTGAAGGTGAGTCTTTTACTCCTATCTTGGCAGGGCATCCACCTTAAAGAGGTGCCAGCCAGTTAGATTGGCCAGCAGCTCTGCAGTCTCAGGAGCTCCAGATTCACGTGTGGCCCACTGTCGGGACTACAGACACAATGTCAAGCTAGTGGAGGCCAGATTTTGTTTAAATTTGGAATATCACTGAAACAAATCTGGCAAGGGGGCTGGGGGCCTGGGTTTGAGAAGCTAAGCAGGTGGAATTAAAGGGGGTTATGACTGTGTTGGGGGAGACAGTGCCCGTGATGGGCAGAGATGACTCATAGGTGAGGAGCCCCCTAACCTGCCTTGCAAGGTACCAGTCTCACAGTTAAAATTGCTACCCACTTGGCATGGTCCTCCTCCTGCCAAGGTTAAACTAAGAATGAAGGCAGGCTGAGGCACGTGAGCCAACTTTATTTAGCCACTTTAGTGTCTCAATAGGCTTAAAGACATGTGGCATGCCTAATGCCTCCACTCAGCATCCCCCATTATAATTGGAGGCAACTTGGAGTGGGCAAACACCCAGCCTTTACACCTGCGAGTGGAAATCCTTGTTAAGGTTTCAGTCTGTGACTTTTCATCAGAGCCGTTTCTATTCAGTTCTGATGAAAGGTCACAGATCTGAAAAATTAAACTATTTCTTTGGCCACAGATGCTACCTAACCTCTAAATATTTCTAACATTCTTTGATTTTATTTTAGATTTCCAGCTCTTATGGTACTCTGCTTTTGTAAAAATGTTGTGTGACTGATTGAATCATTCAAAAATTACCGATTGTTAAAGTCATTTTGTTCTCTATCCATTCAGTTTCCTTCTTGCACAATGAAAATATTGCAGTATTGTTTTAACTTGTGAAAAAGAAGAGATTTAAAACACAACAAAGGATGATTCGAGAAACAAGAGAAAGGAGTGTTGATATTTTGGAGCATGGTTTCCATGGCTAACAAAAAACAATAAATAGTTCCTACTTTTGTTGGAATAGAGGGAGAATCGCCCTACAATTAACTGTGATACACATGCCCAGGAATGTTTGGTTTTTCTACCGTATGCATGAAATGAAAAGTGTTGTATTTACAAATCCTTTCAATTCTCAAAAATGAAAAATAACCATTCTTCATCATATGGTGGAAATTTGTTAGTCACTAGTAGTTGTATCCAACTGTTGCATTGTGTCTAAAATAGTCCCCTTCAGAAGAAGAAGAGCACTTTGGTTTTTTTTTTGTTCATGCAGATTCTGAAATGCTCCCAGACCATTGCTCTTGGGTTTATTTACAGCATTCTTGTATAGCTTACTGGATCATTTAATCATATTTACACAACCCTTCCTGACAGGTTTCTCAACAACACTGCCTTCTTTTTCCCATTATTAATGATGCTTGCGTGGATGATTTCTGTGGCTTCCATGGTGCGTAACCTTGTGTTTGAGAAAGAACTTCGACTGGAAGAGGTAATTAAAGTCACAAGTAGTTCCTGGTATGAGATATCCAGAATTGAATGAGGTGACCTAAAATTTCAGTGCAACATGCACAAGTGAATGTACTGATGGAGTTAAAAGAAATGTAGAGCATGCATGGAGATACTTCTCAGGGATGTCTTGGGGAAGGGCTGAAACTTGATTACTTTTGTGCCTGTTGTTATTGGGACAAATGCATATTGGGTGGAACATTTACTGGGCACAGTTTTGACTGCCTGATTCTGCAAATTCCCCCACCTGTAAGTAAGCCATCTTTCAAATCGACAAGAGGTGACTTTTGAAACAGGCATTAGCCATATAAGCATATATATCCCTTCAGGCAGCATTGGCTGACTTTTGACAACCGTCTTTCAGGAGTTTTAGCTTGGCCATTGATCATACTATTGTTCATGTTTTGTAGAATACTTTGTACTTTGTACTTTTTGCCTCGTCAGAAGAGGAAATCGGAAGCCTGTTACATGCCACTTAGTGGCCTAGTATGTAACCAAAATTTAATGCTAAGCACTAGCTACTTAAGAGCCTCTTCACACTCCTGCTAATGTTTTACTCTGGTATGCTGAAAGCTTAAAGGGTAGAATGGCCTACTCCTGCTCTTGTTTCTTCTGTTCATTATCCCTGGGTTATACTCTTTTTCCCCAGCCTCCATTGCTGGCTGGATTGAGACTGGCTGCAGTCCCAACAGTGGCCAGCACTCCCAGCAGCACTGCTGGTACTGAGGAGCTACCATTCCTCTGAATGGCTAGCAACTCTGCAAGATGATATTCTGCATTAGGGAAGTTGCATGAAAGTTACAAATTGTCTGTTTTAGTAATGTCAAAAAAGATTGTGTCTTTCAGGCTGGCAAAGGCAGGCTCATTTTTGACTTTCCAGTTAGTATGAGGCCACCTCTTCCCCGTTAAATCCCAGCTTATGTTCCCATTTTACTACTTCTAAGCAAATATTAGGTTGAAATTAGAGAAGCACCTGTTCCTTGCTATTTGCTATGTGTGAAACAATTTAAATATAACAAAGCATAAATGTTTAGAGGTCTCTAATAGTGTATTTTCTATCCTATAGTACACCAAGATGCTGGGAGTGAAGCCAATAGTTCATTTTATGGTCTGGTTTCTGGACACTTTCTTTATCCTGATTTTGAGCAGTGCCTTCATCACCATTATTTTGAAAGCCAGCGAAATACTTCCAAACAGTAATGGATTCATCATTTTCCTCTTTCTTTTGGATTTTGGAGTATCTGTCATTGCGCTGAGCTACCTGATTGCCACCTTCTTTAGCCATGCTAATACAGCAGCTCTCAGTGCCTGCCTGATCTACATCATTACCTTCTTTCCCTATATGGTCCTTGTGGCTGTACAGAATCAACTCAGCTTCTCCAGCCAGATTCTGATTGTAAGTAGAACAAGCTTATTCTACAGTGCTATGTTTGTTTGGTACATTTTTGAAGCGATTGCTAGTGTGATTGAAACAAATTAATATTCTGAGAGAAAATACTTCTGTGTTCTGCACATAACAAAGTTAGAAATACAAAAAAAAATCTTGGAAAAACAAGCTGGATCTCCTTTGCCTAAAGCAAGGCAAATCTTGAGAGATGTGACGGAATCATTAAAATTATAAAATGATGGGCTAGGGCGGATAGTATTTGCTTTTAGTGATTGAAAGATCTAGAGTGAAGGGTTTTAGATTTAGAAGTACAAGTTTTTTTTGCATGATCTTGCTGATGGGCAAGATGGGGTGGGGGTTGGGGAGGGGTGAAGTCTGCAGCATCGGAAGCAGTCTTGATTCTCTTGGTTCAGAATATGTTTAAAATCTGTCATTGTGGGACTCCCCTTCTTCATTACATTTACTGAATGGGGAGGCCACGGCAGATAGCCTGTTACACCAATATCCAAAAATGCCATTTGGGTCCTAAATGTATCATAGAACCTTGCTGTACATGTACCAATGAAGTTCATGATTGAGTCTTGCAGGTACCTAAATCTCCTAAAAGGGACTTAATTCAAATGGGGTGGACAGGAATAGAGTAAGGAACTCTAAGAGGAATAGATAGTTTTCTGAGGCCGGACAGTGAACAGGCAAAATATTTTCGCCCAGTGGGTTTTCAGGCTATCGAGTGTAGAATCATAGTGGTTGAATAGGAACACATGTTATTATTTAAACAGGTTATCAGTGGAAACAATCATAAAGGAATTTAGGAAAGCAGTTAAATGAAACAGTTATCAGCATTTTAAGATGAATGGCCTGGTTTCATTTTGTAATTCCAATATAATTCTGTGTAAGTATTCTGACACATTTACATTATTCATTTGGCATGCTGGCAGATTGGGCCATAGTAGCTTGAGGAACAGACAATAATTGTGGTTCCAGTGTTTAAATGAGCCTCATTATTACTTTAAACTCTCACTAATACTTTTCCAAATCTAAATCCTATCCAGTGCCTCCTGTGTCCAACTGCATTCAGCCAGGGATCATATATTATCACACTTTTTGAAGGTAATGGATCAGGTAAGAAATTCATAAAATGTGAAATTCTGATGATGAAAACCATGGAAAATATAAAATGATATACTGAGTTTTGCTAATATTTTCAGCATATTGTCATTTAGAAAAGGCTGTTACAGGGAAGAAACTGAATTCCGGGTGAAATATTTAATACAAATAAAGACCAAATAAAGCAACATAGGTATTTACATTTGAAGGTAGTCACTTGACCTGACTGGCCAACACCTTTGTGATTGATATTTGTAGTTAGTGGATAGTTTTTGTCTCCTCTGTTCTTCCTTATCACTATCAGAATGTGGTCTTTAGGCACAATTCCCCTGCTCTTTGCATTTATCTCAATGTTGCCTTGTTACCCATCCTTCCTTTTGAAAAACTCTAAAGAAATCCTTCTCTTTGAATTTGACTATTATCCCCTAAGGTTTCTTCTGCTTGCTGCACCGAGTTAATTTGTATGCCTGGGTAAGCAGTTATTCTGCATTGGGAGTGCTCCATGAATGTGAATTATTGCTGATGAGGGCAAAAGAAATGTTGAATGATCAGCACAACTTCATTAACGCACCACCAGAAGATGGGCTGTTTGCTTACATCTTGAACACACTGTGTTTCCTTTGAGATGTTTAACAACTGTATTCTGAATATTAAAGTGATATTGAGGTAAACATTATGAACAGAGCTCACAAGAAATGAACATGTCAACATTTTGTGCAGTTTCACAGTCTTTGTAATTCTCCATCTTATTGAAAGAGTAAATTTGAATCTCTGAATTTCACACTTAAATAGTCATCTTTCTAAAACAGATTTTGTTTTAAAAAATAAGCTTCAGTAAATGTCAGTAGTGCAATAATATTTTTGGCACTTGTAAGCCGAAGAAAAATTTGAAATAAAACAAAGAACTGCAGTTGCTGGAAATCTGAAACAGAAAAAAAAAGAAATTGCTGGAGAAACTCTGCAGATTTGGCAGCATCTGTGGAGAGAATATCGAACTAATATTTCAAATCCTACGTCTTCTCTCCATAAATGCTGTCAGACCTGCTGAATTTCTACAGCAATTTCTATTTTTGTTTCAAAAAGTTGAAATATCCTGGTATACGTGTAATGCTCATTTTGAAGTTTTAAAAATTTTATATAAATTGATTTCTATTAAACTATGATGGTAGTTTATCCATTACGAACAATACTACTGTCTTTTTAGCACTGACTATTGAATTAGGAGCAATGTAATCAAGAAATAAAAGACTTTCAAACAATATTGATTTTTAGCTGGGTCTCGGTTGTCTTCTGATACATATGGTCTGAAAAAGAAAACATGTTTATCAAAAAACATTGTCATTTGTTAAGGCCATCATAAGCTCCAATTAACTCAGCGTGCATTGGTTTCCTTTGTGTGTAAGGAAGTAGCAGTGGAAATTATGCACATCCAGTATCTGATATTCCTATCAACCTTTGAGGATGAGTGTCGGTTGTTTAGCAATGCATTTTCGCTCATTTGCAAGACAAAAAGTAAAGTTTCTATAGTCTTACCAAATCATAGAACTAGTCTCTCATTAGAGAGAGACAACTGATCGTGGTTTAACCTGAGGTCTACGAATGTCTGTCATTAGTCAGGCATTGTCAGTGAAACTTGGAAGAATCTCCTAGATTTATTATGGATGCATGATGATAGAAGCAGAAATAAGTCTCAGCAATCCTTTCACATTCACTAATAAAATAATTTAAATTACGTTGGATTGCTAGGTCCATATTTTTCCTTCACACACGGATATAGGAAAATGTCATGACTTGTGAGCGCTGAATATTGTTGTTAAAAAGTGAAGTCCTGTTGTACTGTCCTAATACAGTAGCTAGTAATAGTTCATAATGCTTCCACTATCATTGTATGTCATTGGGAAAATGTTGGTTTGTGTGTCTAGCAAAAATTTTCTTAATGTTAGTACGGTATTTACAGATTAAACAAAACTTGAAAATTGACAAACAGAATAATTTTTATTCCAAGTGACTGTAACACTGTGATTTATGTAGTAATGCTATATCCACTTACCTAGTTGTTGGGAAATATTTATAAATTATGTTGAGTAATATATTTCTCTTTGTGCATGATTTATCTGAATACCATGAAGAATCTTGCAGGTCAGAGCATAGAAATGGAAATGTTGTTGCTGAAAAAGATTTGAAACAAGTGATTCTGGATTTGTGACAACAAGGTGCAGGGCTGGATGAACACAGCAGGCCAAGCAGCATC